CATAAATATCGTGCAAATGATTGTGTGAGCTTGAAAAACCTATTATTTTCACATTACAGATATTTCAATTTTATTTATTTGTATAGATATTACCGTATCTTTGAGTAGACAGTCCAGAGTTGCTTTGTAATATAATTTGCCACGAACAGTTCTAGTAAAACGGTTGTTGGTTTAAATTTTGTTTCAACCACAATAACTGGTTACCTCAATATAGGTACGAGACACGTAGCACGGATTCTAATGTGGGTATATTACCATGACAGGCTGTTAATGTAAAATCACTTTCTTTTTTTAATAACATTATATTTCAAATCAGCAAAATGCTTTAAGAAACAAGTTATATACTGTTTGCCTATATACTTTCATTATTATTTTCATTACCACAGTAATTCTATCCACAGAAACCAGAAATACATAGCATTGGCTTTTGTTTCTTAAAACTGTCGCACATTAGCGCGGTAGATGGCGCGGTAAATTATTTTAATGTGATTTTAATATATTACTAAATGTACATTATAATTTAAATTTAAAAAAGAAAACAAATTTTTGCAGACCAAAATATACGGTAAAAGTTCACTCATAAACTCATAACAAAGAAAGTAGTTACAACAATCAAGACTACCGACCTATTATTTAGTTTAAAGCAGAGAACGATAATTTTAATATTCGTAGTTTTGTTCAATCTTGAAATGTGAAAACTGTAATTGTTAAAAAAAACTCAACCCTTTCAAGGATTCTGTATATTTCAAAACTCCAAAAAGGAGCCAATTTGACCCGGTGGGTCATTCTTGTCGAAGGTATAGCCACCCTGGACGACTAGGGTGGTTCATCTGATTGGAATCTCTGACGCAATTTTAGCCAGCCTTGCAACACAGCTGGTCACCTCGACAAGGTACGGCCCGACGTTTAATAAGCAAATTTTTGAATATATTTTAAATGCTTGAGTGGTATCCAAACTAAACGTGTGCATAACGTGAGCATACTGCATCCACTTGAAGAAATCTAGGCATTCTAAGAAATAAATTAATACATTTTCAAAATTGAATAATAAACTTTGATATTACTGAATCGCACCAGTGAAGATTTCCTGTGCACTAATTATCATGTACACATTTAAAAAATTGTTCAGAGTCTTTTTCTCAACTCTAAACGGGATTACCATTTAGAGTAGAGAGAGGTATTCTTTAAACAATTTTTTTAGTGTATATTTAATGTTCAACAACATTTTTGGTATTTTTTTACAAAGTATAAATGTTTTGTCGAACAAATAATAATGCTTTTCTAATTGCTAATATCACAAGATATTGTTTCTTGACCATTATGTTGTTTTCAAAAAGTAATTGCCATTAATTAAACAATTGAAAAATGACTAAGTTGCGATAGATAAGTTTTCTCAAGCATTTAAAATATATTCAAAAATTTGCTTATTAAACGTCGGGCCGTACCTTGTCGAGGTGACCAGCTGTGTTGCAAGGCTGGCTAAAATTGCGTCAGAGATTCCAATCAGATGAACCACCCTAGTCGTCCGGGGTGGCTATACCTTCGACAAGAATGACCCACCGGGTCAAATTGGCTCCTTTTTGGAGTTTTGAAATATACAGAATCCTTGAAAGGGTTGAGTATTTTTTAACAATTACAGTTTTCACATTTAAAGATTGAACAAAACTACGAATATTAAAATTATCGTTCTCTGCTTTAAACTAAACAATATGTCGGTAGTCTTGATTGTTGTAACTACTTACTTTGGTATGAGTTTATGAGTGAACTTTTACCGTATATTTTGGTCTGTAAAAAATTGTTTTCTTTTTTAAATTTAAATTATAATGTACATTTATTAATATATTAAAATCACATTAAAATTATTTAGCGCGCCATCTACCGCGCTAATGTGCGTCAGTTTTAAGAAACAAAAGCCAATGCTATGTATTTCTGGTTTCTGTGGATAGAATTACTGTGGTAATGAAAATAATAATGAAAGTATTTGCTGATTTGAAATATAATGTTGTATAAAAAAGAAAGTGATTTTACATTAACAGCCTAACATGGTAATATACCCACATTAGAATCCTTGCTACGTGTCTCGTACCTATATTGAGGTAACCAGTTATTGTGGTTGAAACAAAATTTAAACAAACAAGCGTTTTACTAGAACTGTTCGTGGCAAATTGTATTACAAAGCATGTCTACTCAAAGATACGGTGATATCTATACAAATAAATAAAATTGAAGTATCTGTAATGTGAAAATAATAGGTTTTTCAAGCTTACACAATCATTTGCACGATATTTATGCCTAAAAACCAGTTAAATTATTTTTTGTCTGTTCGTCTGGCTCTCCATCTGTCTGATTGTTCCGGGTAGTCTTTAAAACGGCTTTACCGATTTTGATAATATTTAACTACCAAGTAGTCTATAACTTAGGCTATTTATCCTCTCAGTAAAACCTTATAAAATTTTGCCCAGTCCGAGAATCGAACCCGAGACCTCATGGACTACACCATTAAGGCAGCGCTTTTCAAATTCCACGCGAACAAAGTCGCGGGCACCAGCTAGTTATAACAAATGATTTAAAACAATATATTCCACATCCAAATATCTACGAAACGCGATAGTGAAGTTTCCCTTGCACTAAGCATATTTTGTTTAAAAAATATTTAACGACGTGTAGACCCGGGTAAACTATTTATGTGATGTGATGTACTAGCTTACCCGGATCTATGCTGTTTTATGAATCCGATAAGTCCGACATATGTCAAAAAGTGTCAATTCGACAATTTTTCCTTTTTATAAAACGACACAATTGTCATGGTGGAAAATTTACAAATATGTTGGATTGACCTGTTTCATAAAAAAAATTACGCGACGGGTAACAATTTGTCGTGAAAAACTTGTCAAATCTGCTTTATTAAACAGAAAATTGTCATGACATTTTGACATATTTGTAGCTTTGTTCGACAATTCTATTAGGAACGTGAAACTCTGTCGCGAAATAATATTTTAAATTTTGAAGGTAAGAAAGTGTTTTTAAAAGCTTTATTACAAAAAACCGACCAAGTATCTATCGGCAAGAAACAAAACGTTTGTCGTATGGGAGCCCCCTTAAATATTTATTTGATTCTTTTTTTAGTATTTGTTATTATAGCGGCAACAGAAATTCATCATCTGTTTTAACCATCTAACTATCACGGTTCATGAGATACAGCCTGGTGACAGACAGACAGACGGACGGACGGACAGCGGAGTCTTCGTAATAGGGTCCCGTTTTACCGTTTGGGTACTGAACCGTAAAAATTGGACTTACTTTGAGCTGTGAGAGTAGTAATGATGAACACTTGGAACAAATACAAAAGAGGAGGCAATTAAAAGCAGAATCAATTTCTCCTTCTCAATTACAGATTTCTGCTTTAAAGAAAAATTTCGGGTTTGTAAAACTTCCGTAGAACGTTTATTTATGAAATTGGTCAACGGAATTACTTAGAGAAGGTGTTCGCTGGCCTGATGTCACCGACTATTGTCAGTAATAATTTGACTGTGGTTTTTTGACATATGTCGAAGTTTATTAAACGCGTTTTTATACATTAAACAAGCAAACAAACAACATTTCTCATTTGCATATTGTTTTTGTAACTTTTACCTCATTATTAGAAAGTATTACACATGTTTAATATTTTCCTACAATAAAACGTATCTATTACTATCTCCTTCCTTCCTTTTATAATTTTTTTACTTATATTAAGAATTATACTAAAAAATAAAATTTTCAAAAACGAATTGTTACAATATAACAAATTCATAGAAGTCAAACTATAATACACTACATTACAAAACAAATAGTGTAAAGTGTCTACGAAAGAGTCCAAATGTATATATGCATTTCAAATAGATTGCAAACCTTTTTTTCTAAATCGCGCTATTAAAGGTTTCAAACGCACTAAGCATATGTTAATATTTTGTCTGTAGAAAACGGGGGTCCAACTTGTCTCGGTGAGCTAGTGAGAGCGCTCGGTCTATGGTAGTATCTACGTATATAGTGCCATCATATCAATCAGATAAACTTAACCCTTAAGGACGGCAAGGGTGGTTATAACCCTGACAAGAATGACTCAGTCGGTCAACTTGGCCCCTTTTTAGGATTTTTATCGTGGAAGAGTTAAATTGCGGTTGTCCGCGGGCCGTTGTAGCCATTTATTAACCGACTTCAAAAAAGAGGAGGTTATCAATTCAGATACTTATTTTTTTATGTAGATTCGGTTATAACTACGTCATATGTAGATGGATTTTTAGAATTCTTTTTTTGTTCGAAAGGGGTTTATTCCAAAATGGTCCCATTTAAATTTCATATAGATCTGATGATGAGTTTCGGCGACAGACAAAGGAACTCTTAAAAAAATGACAGCAAAAAAAGGTTTTAGTGCTCTTTGTTAGTATTGCTTGAACTCGGTTCAACGTTTTTTTAAAAAGAATTTATTCTAACGTCTCTGCTCGCAAGGTACTATTTTTTTAAATCTACTTATCTCTTTTAATAGTATTTAATTGTCAACGTTAAATACGCTAATCGACCACAGGTTATACTTTAAAGTAGTTTAAATTGTAATGTCTTAGTGTTCTTGCTTTATTTTTTAACCCTCGGCGGAAAAATGAGCTGTGTAATAACTTTTAAAGAGTAGGTGCCTGTCTGTGGCCTTCTTAATCGTTTTTTTAGCTTAGTATTTACGGAAAATCTATTCCGTTGATAAATCGACCATCCTCTCTTTTCTGATTATTTTCATTTTTGAGTTTTAAGTGACCATTTTCAAGTTCCTATTATTGCTTTTTAAATGTGAAATAGATTTCATTATGTTTTGTAACTCTACTACACCAGTTAAGAAGAGTTCATCCCGCGTCTAATTTGTTCTAGGAGACGAAAGACTCGATAAAACTGGGAATTTAAATAAGAATTCTTTGTTCCACGAGCTCGAAACTAAATAAAAGTTTCTTGTTGTTACAGGTTAATCGAACATAATGGCTACCAAATCGTACAGTAAACACAAGGAATACAAGGAGTACTCCACCAGCGGCTCCATCCCCCCCTACACAGATGAACAATTTGGTAAGAAAACATTATTTCTTTTTTAGGGTTTTTTCCTCAAAAGGAAAAAACGGAACCCGATAAGATCACTTTGTGGTCCGTCTGTTCGTCCGTATGTCAAGACCCTTTATCTCTAGTTGAAATTAGAGCCATATACTCAGGTCTAAAGTCAATTTAAGCAGTAAAAAAAATGAAACTATTAAGTTAACGTAAAAAAAATATACACTCAAGGGAATCAATATTCATGGGGTACTTCTCGTTGACCTATAACGAAATTTGGCAAGTAACATCGGCTTATACTACAAGTACAGGGAATAATCTAAAAACTAAACATTTGTAATTAAATCATAAATATACAGCCTTTATTTAAAGTACGTAATCAATCACCGAGGTACAATTTCACTTATAAAACACAATTATCCTGTGTCTCCCGACTTTCAAAGATTGTTGACACACACCAATATTATGTATATTATATAACATTATATAACAATATGCATTTATAATTTATATCATTTTCATCCAAGACAAATAAATATGTAAGGCATGGTCATTTGTTGTGTCTGGGTATAATTTATTTTTTTATGTTCGAGGGAGCAGACGAGCAGAAAAATTAGAAATATATAAGTATGTGTGTATCTTATGTATTTAGAAATATATAAGTATGTTTATCAGCAGTCTGGTCACCATAGCACAGGCTCTGCCTAGTTTGGGATCAGACGGCCGTGTGTGAGATGTGTAAAGTTTTGTTATTATTAATATAAGTATATAAAATACAGCACTCCACATTATTATACCTTTTTTGAGAATATCATGGATCTCAATAGCGTGGTCGGTCAGTGAAATCCAAATATTTCATATGCATTTTTGCTCATTCCAGATATGATAAAATCCGAGTTAATCCCGAAGGGCAGCAAACTGGACTCTCTAGGCAGAGGGTCTGGCAGTGGAACTAGGGAGTACCATTACGAGTACAAAGAGGAGAAGCATCCCTCTGGGAAGTACGACAGAAAAGATCTGCATACCGTTGAGGTGAGATTACATGTGTTATCCTCCGACCCTTGTCCCTAACTAGGTTGAGGTCGGCTTTTAGTGTACTACGACACGGCCATCAGACCTTCACAACCCAAGTATTAGGCGATATCGAAGTTCTGTAAATAAACGGTTGACGGACTTTTTTAGGGCTCCAACAACCGTGGTATGGCAACGAGACACGGAAGGGTCTCAATGTGTTAAGAATGGTCACCCATCCATAGATTGACCTGGCTGGGGTTGCTTAACTTTGCAATGTCCTAACCTATTCGGTTAAAATTTAGCTACGAGGCCCCGTGAGATTATTAGATTATATGTATTAATGTTATTACGTTGTTCAACAATATGTACCTAAGTCAAATTAGATATCTTACACTCACATTAATATTTCTTGGTCAGGATTCATCTTTACATAGCATATAATAAGTCGCTACTACGCAACGGATTTTAATGCGGTTTTTACCAATAGAGAGAGTGATTCAAGTTCAAAGTCCGCTATGGTGTGGAAATCCCCTCGGTGACGGTCCGAGGGGATTTCCCCGCCGGGGCTCTCGTTCGGCGGGGCGGTGTGTCGGACTCGAACCGACTAAAACCACACGGTGTGCCCTCTTTGCGCTTCCAGTTTAGGAGGGGTCCAGGTAGTTATTGCCTTCTGGACCCCTCCCAACGCCAGCCCGCACCTGGCGCGGGCTCCGTCTTAAAACTTTCCTCTCTTTAGGCGACGTCCGGCACACGCGGACGCCGCCCCCTCGCGGCTGGCCAACTAATGCGGGTGGAGGGGAGAACCCATCCCGTCCACCCGCGGCACCTAAGGATAACCCACAGTAACCATTTTTATCTTTCACAAATTACAAAAAAATATGGGTACTTACGAAGCTATTTTGAACAATACAGTTTTATTCCTTATCCAAATAAACACGTTAGATACGTTGTCATTCAATGTAGATCAAAGTTGCCATTTACAGCACATTATTGAATTGAATATCTTAGTAGATATCAGATATTTAAAATGCGGGGGCAGAGCGGCCGTTGCCGCGTCGGGCTGTACTACTGTACTGTCCGTCCCGGAGCAGTGTGGGCCTATAAATGTTACATTTAAAGATTTCCTATAGTATAGTCTTATCAGAATAATAATAATAATATGATTTATTTCTCAATTTGGCACAAAAATACATAACAGCTTTACAGACACGATATTCTCAGTATTTACGATAAACTCTGGTAACCAGGATAAGATTCAACTTGTGTTTAGTGTATAATTAATTACTACACATTGACACCACATTAGTGGGATCTACATTGCACCAGGGCGCAAAACAACGCAGGACACCAGCACTGCAAAAAGAAGGAAAACTTGATACAATCCCTATACCAACCCGTCTGGCCAGCGTGGTATAGTAGGCCAAAACCTTCTTTCTAAGGAAAGGCCTATGTCCAGCAGTGGACTATTAAAGGCTGTTGATGTGACATTGCACCTGCGCGAAGCCAGGGCAGATCGCTAGAATATGAATAAAAATGGATTGAATAAAGTTTACAAGAAATGCGTTTGGTTACAACCTCGGCGATAAAAAACGTATAAACATCTCGTAATGGTTCTGCAACTCAATAGCGTCATACCATTAGTCAGACTTCAACTTACAGATTCAGTCATCTCGCGGTTATTGAGTAACATTCTACTGCTTAGCTGTTAGTCATTATATGAAAATAGTCCTTATTAGTAATCGACGATAAGGATGACTTAGACGCTACCTTTTAAGGGCCTTCTTTTTTTTTTTTTTCCGTGCGGAAATCCCCTCGGATACCACCTATCAGTGGCATGTCGGACTCGAACCGACTAAACCGCACGCCGTCTCGGGTACTAATAGCCGGGGAACCAGGTATACCCTAGAAAGGAAGTCCCTGGTGCACCTTTTAAGGGCCTACCTATCGCTGGGAATGGTCTAGATATCTTAATAACAGCTGTTCCCAGATCCCTGGTATTTCAGATGAGGCACCTGAAGCTATACTAAAGAGTTATGTAAAAACAGCTACGTGAAGTTACAAGGAGCCAGAATATATTATGTTGATCTGTAAAAACAAGGCATTCATTGTTGAAACATCAGGGAATTATACACAAAATTATACGACACAATTATATTTTATGAACCCCTTCTGTCAATAAATTTTATAATATTTTGCAGGAGTACACGGTCCCACCAAGATCGATTCCTAAATCTTCAGAATCCAGTTCATATTATTACGAGAGGGAAGCGAGAGACATTCCGGCTATCACGCATACTGGAACCAGGACATACAATTATGAAACCTCCAGCGCCACACCAGGTAAGTGGGTAGATAACAGTAATACCTATCGGCAGTCACCTATCGATAGTAATAATAATAATATTTCGGACATCTGACACACAACGCTATCCAGTTTCAAACTAAGCAGAGCTTGTAGTATGAAAGCTAGAATGACTGATAGAATACTTAGAAAACACCCATATACTACATAGAAAACACCATAACTCCAACACAAATACTTGCAGATCATACAAACATTCCGGGAATCGAGCCCGGGTCTCAGCACAGCAGTCGCATACGCGACTACTGCTGATGCGAGGCAGTCACACTTATATTGATAGATTTTTATGTCCTATTTTTTTTTTTTTGTTTGTGGCAAACTGTGCCCATGTCGACAATTCTGCCAAAGTCTAGTTTGTGATGAAGGTGCGTGTGTTTGTAGAGCCGTAGAGGAACAAAACATAACCTCTGAAGGACCTCACTGCAAATATGTCCTATTTTCAATGACACTTTAAATTAGAGATGTCACGAATAGTGATTTGGCCGAATATCGAATATTCGGCGAGTCTTTTGGCCGAAGCGCCGAATATTCGCGGTTATATACATGAATCAGTAAAATGGCTAGTAAATTTTAGTAGTTTATTTATCGTCTCCCGGAAGCAGTGAGTGAAGAATTACCAAACGTTAACATAACTTTATATCTCACACTTTATTAAATAAGTCTTCTCATTATAGTACTAGTAGTCGTAGTTAACAATAGTAATTCATAATGTAAGTGAATCAAAAATTAGTACCACAAAATGGACTATTTAAAGAAAAAAATTAATAGAATATTGCGCCATATATTATTATCAAATGGTCGTTCTTCATTCTCTGGTTTTATGTCGCTATTCAAATTTACATCGCCATCTTTTATTGTTTATAACGTAATTGAACTTACTTGTTCGAAAATAATCATTCTTTTCTATTTGTAATAAAAATTGTAATCGAAATCTCATAACTTAAGTTGGACAATAATACACATACAACATCGATTGAACAATTTCGTACCTAGATCATTATAACTTGGTCTAGGCTGCTGGAATGTTCTGCATCGCTCTCTTACCAAAAGAATGATTACCGTAGGAGGAGAATTAGCGTTAATTAATGAAACACCTTTTCTTTTCCAGGGTACTCGCAGATCAAGAGCTCCAAAGTAACAAAAGATCTGTCTCAGAACGTTGAAGAGCTAGACTCACTCTTGGATGACCTTCAGAAGGACCAAGAGAGGCAGTTATATAAAAGTTAGTGTACCTATTCGCATACATAGGCCACATTACACCCTTCTTTATTCTCATTGCTTTAAAATTCATAGGATTATTTTGTAAATCCGACTAGTATTATCCTAGATTGGAGGTACCAAAAACGGAAAAGTAATTACTTTTAGTAAGTAATTGTGTGCTGATGGACTATTAGTGACGAGATAGTTCTGCTAGTTTTCGTTAGATGGCGCTGAATCAACAACCATCGACACAACCACACTAGTATATAAAATCGTCCACAGGATGTCACTCTTTTTTACCATAACTATGGAGGATAGGGGCAAGGAGAACCATCTCTGTTTATGAAAAGTGTGCGTATAAACGCGTCCAATAAGGGTGGCACTGCGGTAGCCTCGGATGAATTTATATTGGCTTAAATAATAATTAGACACTGTATACTAGACTGCGAAAATAGTTCATGAGTTTTAACAATAAATAAACGTATGATACCTTCAGATAATAAAAATATTATAAATTCACCACAGTGTACCACAGCTCTGTCATATCTTAGTTTTTCGTACTTGTCCTCTACTGTCAGTATACAGTTGGACACTTTTTCAGCTTTCCCTCCATACGAGATGGTTCCCTTGCCCCTACACTCCATAGCCAAAACTGACGCAAAGTAAATAATTTTATGTTTTTATTTATAGATGGCTACGCGTCTGACACGGCTGAGAGTACGTCATTCGACTATAAGAGGGGGTACGTTGATCTATATTTAATTATTAAGTAAACATTGGACTAGATGGAATATCTGTTACCACGACCTCATAGGTCCAGGATAGCAACTCACTAAAGGTCGGCTACGCACTTGTGTATCTTAAGTGATAGGAAACCATGGGTTTAGGTAGTCACTTTACATCAGGTGGCTGATCTGTTCGTTTGCCCTCTATAGCATAAAAAAATCGTTTCAACCTTGGTTGCCTATTCTGTGATCGCGTGGAGTCTCGTTTATATTTTTTATAAGTGAGTTCTTTTTTCTTTTCTTATGAGTACTTAGTGCAAAATAATTTGGTAGTCATAGAGATATAAGCATAGAGTAAACAAGAGTAGGCCCAAACCTCCTTTCTAAGGAGAGGCCTATGTCCAGCAGTGGACTGTTAAAGGCTGTTGATGATGATGAAACAAGAGCCCCAATCTTGCAATATAGGCAATGAGATATATGGATACTAAATAGTTCCCTCTATCTCTTTCTAGTAGCGCTGTGGTTGGCTGGGGAATATGAGGGGTTAATGCCCATTTCACGATAGCCAATCTCAGCTTAGTTAAACAGAGACAGAGGGAACTATCGGGCATCCATCACTCTCGTTGCCTGTATTGCTTTCACTTACAGGCAGCTGTAGCCCGTGTTTTTTCTCTTCTTTTATCTTTATGATTGTAATTGTACTTAATTATATTAAATTAAATATAATATATATACGAGTATATTAAAACATTATAATGTTTATGTTTTCCAGACCTGCAACAAAAGCCCCGTCCAGTGGCTACTCGACCCTCAAGCGTGAAGAACGCGTCGAGTCTTCTTCTTGGGGCTCAAGCCCTCCTCCCACCATCACCAGGGCTCAGGAGCTGAGGCAGGAGCTGTACAGAGAAGAGAAAACTGGTGCGTCCGCCAAAACGTTTTATTATTTTTACTGTTTAGTTCCACCGGAATTAAACCTAAATGATCAGTTATATTTTCTTTGATTATATTTCTTCCAATAAAAAATTACTAAGAATACATTATTATTCTTAATTTGTCCACTTTCGTATTTCCAGAATCCCGCGTGGTACCATCCCAGATATCGCCAGCTGTTCCGCAGCCCGTCCCAGCGGTAGTCTCCGTCTGCAACCACTGCCATCAAACTCCTTCCACTGGCACTGTAAGTATCTATCACAGCACGTTGTACCTGTTCCAGGGATAGGTAAAATGTCTTAAAACCAATTTAATGAGAGCCAACAGAAACAATGATCTCTGAACAAGATTAAGTGTCTACTCTTTGTTTGGAAACTCTACTAATATCACTGTCTGCGGTTGGAATAAGAGGACCCTTGGTGATGGGCTGCACTGTCCTCTATGGTCTACCCAGCGCTGCCAGCGGGCATGTGGGCTCCGTGCATTAAATTTTTCAGGGATGTCCAAAACTACAAGGACTTGCGGGAGGTTCTACTGCGAGTGGAGGACATACAACGTGTCTCGTCCTCTAGCAGCCACTATTATAGTATATAAGTAATAATAGTACAATATTATTGTTAACTATCTAAATACAAATGTTAAATGAATACAAATTATTGTAATTTCTAGATTGCACTTTATTGCAAGGCTATGAGAGTCAGTTTTTATTTAACGACTTTAATAAGTGATCCCTTTGTATGTAATGCAATCTTAAACTAACTTGTACTCCCCACCAGTTGCCCCGAGGCACTCCCATGAACAAGGTGACGACCACAGTGAAGACCTACACGTACGAAGTGCCGGCTGGACAGGACCCCACCACCGTACCCATCCCTGAACACCAGCACCACCACACTACTTATGTCACTGAGGAGGAGAATATGTCGTAAGTAATAATAAAAATATTTATAAATGTACAACGTAATGAATATTTCTACAATAAGTAGAGATAGAAAAAAGCTAGTTTTATAGGTATAGCTTTCAGTGGGTGGCAACACCAAGTCTGTAGTGTTGCAAACGTTAATATAATAATATTATTTCCAGCACTCTGAGCAGGTCGCCGGTCCCTCCCCTGGCCCCACAGCCACAGCCAGGCGGGTGCCAGTACTGCTCCCACTGCAACTCCTCCATCAGGGAATACAGGACCGTTACAAGATCTGACGGTATGTGTTTTACGTTTTTGTACATTTAAGAAATAAAATGCTGCGTAGAATATTGTCAGTAAAAAAAATGAAAATTTTAATTATGTTTAATTATGTTAAGAGAATTCAACATTGAACAGGAATTGAACAGAACACGAATGTGTTCTGTTCAATTCTTGTTCTGTAACATTTTTCTTCTCACTTTCCTGCAATCGGTGTTAGTTCACCAAAAAGGACAGAGTTTGTAACATGTGAAATTTTACTTTTTTCTCTTAATTAGATATAGTAATAATAAATAACAAAAAAACGGCGTCAGGGGTCCCCCAGTCGGCACTAAGTTCCTTTCAATTTTTGGTAGACGTTTGCTACAGTGTCGGCAAAAAGTCTTGTTACACATTACAATTCTTTCGTTGCCTTTCCCAAATCCCCCCTCCCGCTGACTCGAGCGGGAGGGACTCCAAGGGCAGCAACGCATTTGTGACTTTGAGTTGCAGGTGTCCATGGGCGGCGGTAGTTGCTTACCATCAGTGATCCGTCTGCTCGTTTACCCCCTTATACTAAAAAAAACAATTTTCGGTCTTGCTCCCATCCGCTCAGTGCGTGTAACCCGCGATAAGGAACTTCGTTCCAATAAATTGTAGACAATACAAGAAATGATTAAATTGTGTTTTTCTATACAGATCGTTCGAGTGAGCGCATGGTGTACCCAGCCCCTGCCAACGAGACCAAGCTTGTACCCGCTGAACCGCATAATGGACACGGCCCATATGTAAGTAATATATGTAATCACGCGCCAGGAGGCATTTAAATGTGACAGATGCACAAAACATGCGATTTTCAATTTGGCATATTACATCTTAAATGTGCAATTTTCAAAAGACCAGTATGATTTATTCTATGATAAGTAAAAAGTTTCGTGTGGAGACGGATTAAGAATACGTAGTGTCACCACCCCTATTCATCCCGTGGGTCTCGTAAGAGCCGACTAAGGGAACTAACTACGCAGGACAACAGCACTGCAAAGAGAAGGAAAACTTGAAAAATCTCTATATCAATCCGTCTGGCCAGCGTCGTATAGTAGGCCAAGACCTTCTTTCTAAGGAGAGGCCTATGTTCAGCAGTAGGCTACGAAAGGCTGTTGATGATGATGGATATTATTTAATATAAAATGTGTTTTGGTAATGGAATTTCGAGACCAGAAATTCCCTAATCACACATTCAATGGTAACTGTTAGTGGTAACAACTTCTCCAGACAACAAACTGACATATCACTATATTCATTTTAATTATTTCCAGGGTCCATCATCATACAAGTACTCCGAAACCACTTACTCTGCCCAGAACACCACGCAACGCTACCCATCGCCCCTCCCGCCACACTCGCCCCCGCAGACCCTGCACCCCCATCCCTCGCCGTCCCCAGGCCCCTTCCCACGGCCCACGACTCCCTCACCAGGTACTCAACAACCCCCGAAGAAGCTCGACGACCTTTTAGCTGATTTCCCTGAAGCAGTAAGTGTCCTAAGTATACTTTTAGATACATTGAGAGCAATATATATTAGCCTTATTGATCATCAGACCTCACCTTTCGAGAGAATACAAGATCACCAAGAACCTTGGAAAACCTTCTAGAACCTTCAAGAACTTTTAAGACCCTACGAGAGAGAACCTTTAAGAATAATAGATACAATTCTCAAACATACATTTGGCTTTAGAGATATGCCTAATATGTTGTCTTTAAAATTTATCTCTAAGACCTGTTCCAGTCCACTCCAGTCCTTGACCAGTAAAATAATATTTTTCATCGACAACTAATAATAAAACTGTTCACAGCGCTTTCCAACTCAACCGGACGGTGTGGTCCGTCGCCGGATTGAAGTCCACGAATCCCAGAACAGCTCGAATACCCAGCTCCGGGACACGAGGGACGTGAAGGATGGCCCCACCACCCCCAAGACGCCAACGAAGCCCATCGGCAGCAGTAGGAACGTCGCTGGACCGGCAGTCTACTATCCGCCTGGACATACGCCATTTGCGAAGAAGGATAACCTGCCCGTTGGTGGAGGATATCAGTCTAGCGTAAGTAATTTTCTCCATCTCTCTCTCAAATTGCACAGAAATCCTGTTTTTTTTTGTGCATGAGTGCAAGCGAGCAGACGGATTACCTGAAGGTAAATGACTACTACCGCCTATGGAAACCTGTAAATCTAGGCACAAATTAGTTAGCCGGCCTTTGAGGCCTCCCTCCAGAATCAGGGAGGGTGGGTGATCTCCTGTAACCTAACCTTACCTTTTTTTTACGTGTGTAACTCCCCTCGGGCCGTCACCCCACCGGAGTTTACGACGGGGTGGTGTGTCGGAATCGGACCGACTCAAACCACACGGTGTGCCACTCTGTGCATGTAATTGGAAGGTTCCGGGAACTGCTGTTATTAAGACATACAGACCAACCTAACCTTACCTAACACAACGAATGAAACGTTTAACTTATTTATTCCCGATTTATACATCCAATCGTGAAAACTTACAAACAAAATACTTATGTATGTATGTTGATTGTCCAGGCGGCGATGCAGCAGGGTGGTGGTGCGTACGCGTCAGGGCGAGGCATGTACGAGTACGAGTCCGGCTCCAGAATGAAAGAGAAGCACTCCGAAACGAAGACAGCGGTACCCATCTGTCTGCCGCTGTGTTGTGCCATGCCATGTGTCATCATGTAACCTTGACCTTTGAGGTATCTTATGTACTAAGCTCGTCTACAATCCAGATACTTATGTTTAATTAAAAAGGTATTTGTAAAAATCATCGTGATCCTTTTTTCATTGTCAAGGTCACTTAGTACTAAAATGGTGTAAATTAGTTTTTTATAGATAACTTGTCCTTTGAAGGTTAAGGTCAATGTCAGTTAGTGCCAAGGTCAAATTTTCCAAGGTCAAGGTCACTCAGGTTTTGCAACTAAGATAGTAAAATAGGCAGGTTAACGTAAAATATAATATTTATTATTGTAAAGAAGATGCTATTGGACAACCTCTGCTCGCTTATAATAAGAAAGTGAGAAAGAGCTTGCTAGATTTATCAACAAAATGTCAGGAATCTCAGAATAATAACAATTACATAAAATAATATACTGATCTATATCCTCATCAATATTGTATGAAAATTTTTTTTATAGCTATGGTAACCGTTTTCCATAATCATTAGCTACCTTAATGGTACATAAAAATATTTAAGGAAATCTTAAATAAGGTAATTTCTAGATTTTACAACTGTTTTGATATGTATTTGTTTTTATTTGACCGAATGAATATTTTATACTTATATTGAAATTAAAATCATGGCAATTTTGAAAATATCGCTGTATGACGTCACAAGTTGGTATTACATAAACATTATATAAGGCAACAGTTACAATGCCATATTAACTTGACAATAAATTACATGTTTTATTAAATGTCTGTACTCAAAGCTAAACTAACAAAGTGCCATTAATGATATTTTTACTTTAAGCAAACTCTTGTGTATAGAGATATTGGATTTTTTATTAATAAAACATTATATTAACTGAATATTGTTTTATTTTCAAGTCCTCTTAAGGACAGGAGCCCAAAAAAAAAAAACAGTGGCTGCGGGAGTGCCGAAAGAAGTGAAAACTTGAAATTTAAAAAAAAATTGAAGTGTCTGTTTGTAATGTTTTGACATTACAAACAAACGTTCAATTTTATTTATTTTGTAATAATAGGTTTTTTTATGCTCACACAGTTATTTGCACGATACCTGTGCCTAAAACCAGTTTTTTTTGTGTCTGTCTGTTTGTTCCGGGTAATCTTTTAAACGGCTAGACCTATTTTGATAATATTTTAATATAAAGAGTAACTTAGGCTATTTTTCCTCTCAGAAAAACCCTTTAAAATTTTCCCCGTCCGGGAATCAAACCTACTAAGTCAGCGCTTTTCAAATTCCACGCGAACGAAGTCGCGGGTACCAGCTAGTGTCAGTATAAAATGAAACAAGGAATAAGAACAGTGAATTCATGACTTTATTTCATTATCCATTCAATTCGTACACATACATGTTACACTAGAGAAAATAATTCCTCCCGCTAATACATATTACACTTTTATTTATAAATCACATTTAACGTTTTAAACACTAAGTTTAATCAATTACTGAAGTACAATTTACTTTTGTATGGCAGACTACACTATACATGAAGATAATTGAAATAATACTAATGAGGACGCAGCCTTAGCTATGCGTGTCGCTTGTGTGACGCGAACCTTATTTAAACATGCTTGCTGCTAAATTAATCAATTTATATAGCCTGGTCCCAAAAGCAATTTTTACAACTTCCAAAAGTAACCTACACAAAATTCATTGTAGCCATAAATTGCTCATAGCGCGCGTGAAATTAACGTTTTACGGGTAATCATACCACCCTGTGTTACCATGCACAAAAAACTAAATTTAGACTTAATTTACAAATAAAACAATGAGTATTTCAGAACAATATTTTTACAATAACGAAATTAGTCTTTAACGCCGAAATTAGATAAAATACTTTACATAAAGTATGCCTTACTATCAATATCATTAGTAAAATTGATAAAAGGACAATTGTTATTACAAATCGTACCTATTGTGTATTTATTTATACTTTTGCTGAAAACAAAATGTATGTTTTTATCAAAAAAGTAACGCAACGCTACAATTCTAATAAACTCTGCATTTGTTGCTGACTGAACGTGCTATTTCTGTTTTTTTCTTATACATTTCTGAAATAATATTATTATTGTGCAAGTGAGTTCGTCATGCAGCAACACGTTAACTACTGAACCGAACATCATTAAATGTTACATATACAATTACAGAGGAACAGAAAAGGAAATAGAGTACAACTTCATTGGATAGAAAAGTATTTTCACACGAGCGAAGTCGAGAATAGTTGTAAGTTTGCAAAACACACGGCTACTCTGATGGTATACGGTCACCCGCGCGTATAAACATTTGGAAAGGAGTTACAATGTTACGTCAAAAGTATTAATATCAGTATTTAAAACATACTTTTTGCAACAGCAAAATTATAAACGTTAAAAAACAAAACTTACTCCAATTCGTTGCAATCTTTCCATAGTGTGTGGTAATTAAATAATAAAAAAACAATTTGTATGACCACTTATTCGTTCTTGCAACCGTACAAGAAATAGACAAGTAGCCAAAACATTTATAGGAATGTTCAGTTGTTATTTTTTATATTTAAACAATCTGTTAGAACTGATTTATATAAGTTTTAGAGCACATCTCATGCTGTCTTTCATCATCATCAATAACCTTTAATAGTCCACTGCTGGACCTAGGCCTCTCCTTAGAAAGGAGGTTTTGGACTACTGTCTTTCATTACCTCATCTAGTGGTATTCACAATTTTTCAGAGTAATCGCCTTAGCTGAAGAAGACGAACACATGCTATTACAAAAAAACAAGATCAGCCATTTTAAATTTCCTTTTTCAGCAGTCCTATTTCTGTATAACATTTCAACAATAATTTTATTTTACAAATACGTTAATAAGTTTTTACTTAAAAATTATAACTTGATATTTTCACGCCAGAATTTAAAACAAAGTAATTTTAGCCTTTTGGAAGACATTGATTGATACCTCACCTTAAACTCAATTTTGTTAATGTTATATTAATAACTGTTATTACTCAAATTGTAATGTTTAACTCGAATAGTAATCTATAATGGAATATAAATATCATCCTTGTAAGCTGGATTATTGTACTTGTATAATTGTAATTCATAAACATATGTATTTTAACTTAGTTTAAGTTTAACTTAGTTTAAGTTCAAAATTACAACTACAGTAAACATGTAATTTTATTTCGTAAGTAATCTGAAATAGGAACTTTAAGACTTAAATAAAGTTTTCAGAATAGACTTGTTGAATAGAATAATATTAATTGATAATTACATTTAAGCAACACATTACAATTTAAGCAACCCATTACAATTTAAGCAAACATTACAAAACAAGGAGGCTCAAATATGGCACTGATGATATTCTTATTGGAATGTTTACTAACACTATTGACATATTTACGGTAGTGAGGATACAGGCAAAAATTAAATTCGTTTGTTAATATATCTCGTAAATGAAACGGCTCTTAATTAGCTAATGAAATAATAATAATAATAGTAACGTAAATAGATAGGAATACAAAAAACACGAAAACAACATTTCTGTTGCATTATACACAAGTAACGCATAAAACTTAGCTCGATTAATGTTCCCAAACCGTTATATTGTAATTACTTAAGATGCAAAAAGCCTAGAATAGTCTTTGTTTATTTAATCACGTTACATTATGAGTAACTGTGTAAAAAACAACAGTAATGATTTACAAAACTAAAAACGCATAGTAAAAATATTGCATATTTAAAGATATTAAGAAAGCGAATTTAAAAAAAATATATCACATTACGTCACAAGCCGTGTTCGGTCACAACCCACACACATCTCGCGAAGTTAAAATTAAGAATAATAAATCCAGCCAGTCTAGTAACAGAATCAAGTATATATCCTATTCACAAGCACCAGGTGCAGTTTTTAACCTGTGCATATTTAAAAAGTTATTTTTTAACTTAAAAAAAGTTTTTTTCTACGTAAGTATGCCAATACCAGTTTCTGCAAATTAATACCTTTGTTTTTGGGTAAAGTGTTTACCCACCACCAACCACTGGTCGGTATATACATGGAAAGAGGATAAAAGAGATATATGCCCAAATCGGTTTTAATATCTCCAATCCGGATATTTATCCATTTTCGACATATTTTTGTGTTCGGTATCAATCACAGGTATCAATCACAAAAAAAAACAAAGCATTGCTGTGTGTTAGTGTGCCAAACCGGACTAAATCACTAAAAAATACAACACTAAATTCTAAAACTAACAAAATGAGATTTAAAAACCAACTTATACAAGACAAATAACTACAGCAATGATCCTCAACACTCCTTTTGTAAATTACCATTAAAATTAGAAAAAAAAACAATGTATTTCTTGTCAATGCCTCAACTTTGTAATACTGAAAAGCGATAATATTTTTATAAAAACAATTCGTGTAACGTGCCGACGACCTGGTGCCATATTGTAGAAGTATTTGGTAATGATGCCAAGAATTTTAGGGTCTACATAGGGTATCAGAATATTAGATATCAGGGTAATAGGTTTATAGTAATACGTGACCTATTGGCGGTAATCATAAAAGACTCACAGTTAGTATGAACACACATTTAATAAATTTCATTTTAAGCTAATCTGTACCTTATAACTTTGCACGGATGTCAATGTTTATTTAAAACACGGTATCACAAAAGGTATATTTATTACCGTGTCCGCTGAGTGAGTAAACACAGATCATGTTTTATTGTTGTAAATTAGTGTAAGCTGCTGTGGTAAACAATATCCTACTTCCGTTGTATTAAGTTTAGCCTGTAAGGATGGTTGACTAAATATTTTTTTTTTTTTTAAGAGACCGAGCCTTCTACGTACGGAAGCGATATCTAGTCTCTGGTTTTATAATTTCTTGCTGACATTATAGCTATATTACGGGAATTTTAATGCAGTCGGCGGCACGAAACTATAATTCCAAAATGACTAAAGCTATGAGCAGTCTAAACGAAGCAAGACAAATATTTACAATATTTTTTTTATTGATTTTT